TGGTAAGGGTGTCAACTTTGTTTTTTTAAATGGTAACACATATTTTTAATTTAATAAAATGTTTGAGTTTTTAATTCAATAATAAATGGCATTTGAATTATAACAATGCTGTGTACCTGCTAATAAACAAATTAAGTTTTATTAAAAATTCAAATTCCATTTATTATTGAATTAAAAACTCAAACATTTTATTAAATTAAAAATATGTGTTACCATTTAAAAAAACAAAGTTGACACCCTTACCAGGTATAAGGGATGAACTTAAAAAGTATTACATAGTTAATAATTCAAGAATAATGTGTAACTAAAGATAATAATAAAAAAAAATTTTTTAAATTATTATTATTCTGCTGTAAGTAATTGAGTGGGTTATGATAAAAAAATCACTCTGTATAAAGGTTTATAGAAAAAAAACTAATCATTTTTTTACATTTTAGCTTCGATGCGAAGCTGAGAAGGTATTGGTTTTACTAAGATGTGTTTTTTTTTTTTTGTGTCTGTTACCACTTTTTCTCAGCTCTGACCGAACCGATTTCTTTCAATGATACGTCAAAAGATCACAAATCGTATCTAGTCGAAGACATTACCCTTAAAAATTGAAAAAAATTCCCTCGTTCCCCGTAAAAGGGGGAAACCTCCAAAAAAATTACAAATTTAAAAATCGCTAATTTTCGAAATTTTTTCAATTTTTTTTACTTAAAAGTGCCATAACTTTTTCAAAAATGAACATATCAATATAATTCTTTTTTTTGTAGATGCATGATGTCTTTACCTTTCATTTGGTATATTTTTTTCATAAATTTAACCCTTAACCTGCCCACAAGGGGGGATTTATAATGACAACTTTTTCACTTTTTTTTGATAGTGATTTTAATCACTGTCAGATATCATTATACTTGATCCAACTATGCCACGTCACCACTGTGCCGCGACCCCCCTGTGCTGGGTTTTTTTATTTTGTAATTAAATATTGAAATATATATTTATGAGGTATAAAAGTATAATTTTTAAATTATATATATTAAAAGACTATCGTAAATTTTCCATACTTTTATGTGTTAAGAAATTGTTATTGCTTATAGAGTAGAGTTGTTATTTTAAGAAATATGGTTGGTGTTGAAGATGTTGATGATAGCCTTCAAGAAGAAATTCAAGATGAATGTAGCAAGTATGTAACATATATTTAAATAAGGTCTAAATTGTTTTTATAACTTATCTTTAATGTTGGTAGATATGGCATTGTTGAAAGAGTTATAATTTACAAAGAAAAACAATCTGATATTGAAGATGATGACTCTGATACCATTGTAAAAATATTTGTTGAGTTTACACAGATGCCAGGTATTTTTTAAAATCAATTTTGTAGTTTTTATAAAAATTATAGGTATCCACAGAGGAAATGGTAGTTGATCTTCTTTTGGCTTATTGCTTGATCAATTTTTATAATCATTTTGTATTTTATAATTCCACAAAATATAACTTTTTACTTAAATTTTAATGAATTATGAACATCAGAATTTCTCTTATATTAATAAATTGCTGACTAAATACATTTAAATTTTACAAAGTCGAGGTGTGGTACCCTCTGCTCCCACAACAATATCTTTGGATAGCCCTATGCTCTAACTAATTACATAGCTTCTAAAGCTTTTAAATAAAAAAAATAGATAAAACTTGCTATATAATTCATATAGAGATTTTATTTTTCATGGTTTTATTTTAAGATAATTTTTTAATTGTAATTTAAATGTTTCTGTATGTTTTTATATCAGTTTATAACTCAACAACCAAATATTTTTTATTTTGAAAGCTCTTAAAGTAAACAAAATATTCATAATATTTGATGAATACCCCAACCCCAACTGTGGGTTACATTTAAATATACAGAAATAGAATTTAATTGTTACATTAAAATGACAAAATTAGTTCAAATTAAATTTTTTTTCACTAAAAAAATTTTTTATTTGTTAAAATTAAATAAAAAAACAAATATAGTTTGTCAATATTTTAATAAATTATATTTGTTTTTAAAATTTAAAAGCTATAAGAATAAATTTATATGAAATATCTCACAAAAGTAATTGTTTTATTCATCTTCACTATACTAGCATTTTCATTTTCTCAATATTTTAAAAAGTTAAAAATTTAAGTGCTACTTATTTGTTTAACTATCTAGGCACCTATCTATCAAAGAATTTTGAATAAAACTGAATTATAAAGTTACACTTATGCTTTAAATTCAAATATGACCCTCACTGTTAAAATAATTATTGTATATTATACAATGTAAATTTGAATAATCATTAAATGAACAATAATATTGAAAAGAACTCGCTCTTTAATAAATATTATTTTTAACTTATCAAAAGTAATATTGATTTTTATAAAAATTATTTTTAATAAAACTATTTTTAGCTATAAGCATTATAGTAAAATATATTTTTTAGCTGTTATAGTTATAAAAAACAGTGTACATAAATTTTTATTAATATCATTATCAAAGCAAAATGTTTTAATACTTTAAGATAAACTGTCTAAAAATTTCTTTTAAATATGTTTTTCTTAAAATCAATCATATCCTCAAAAGTAATGATTAAGGCACATATGTTTATGTACTATTCATGTGTTTATACATTTGTATATGCATGTGTGTGTTCGTGTATATGCGTATATGTTTGCTAATTCATGTGAATTAGCAAACGAATATGCACTTCAAATTGGCAAAAAATGCTGTTTCCAAGGCATTTATTTAAATTTAAAAAAATTACACCTATATGAAAATGAATGAAAGGTTAATATTTTATAAGACTGTATTGAGATCAGCTATGATGTATGGTTCAGAGTGTTGGGCGGTTGATAAGAAAATAGAGTAAAGAATGAGTGTAGCAGAGATGAGAATGCTTAGATGGATAAGTGGAGTGACTAGAGAAGATAGGATAAGGAACAAACATATAAGAGGGAGTATAGGTGTAGCGTCAATCGTGGATAAGATGAGAAAAAATAGACTTTGATAGTTTGGTCATGTTATGAGGAGAGAAGAATCGGAAGCTGTAAGAATAGTTATAGAAATGAATGTTGAAGGAAAAAGAAGTAGAGAAAGACCAAAAAGAAGATGGACGGGGATTAAGTATGTATAAAAATTACATTCTTTTAAAAACTTACAAAAATCAACTACGTCAATATACCCTCCTAATAATACAAAAACATGTATTATTTAACTTAATATTTTATATCTATTGTTATAAAATGGACTTGGAAAAAATTTGCTACAATTTTACAAAGCCAATGTAGTCATCTTTCCAAGTAATCACAAAAACTTAAAATGGAATATTATGATGATCATGCAATATCTTACTTACTAATCATGTCACAATTTAACTAATTAACTTTCAAAACTTAAGCATTTTCATTGCTTGCTTCAGATAATACAAATTAGTATTTAGTTATTCATATTATTATTTTAAATAGAAAAATTGATATTCAAGTAATCCAATTAATTTAAAAAAAAAAAAATAATAATCAAATTTGTTTTTTTCAGAAGCTGAAAAAGCTTGCGATTCTCTGAATGGCCGATTTTTTGGTGGACGTTTAGTTAAAGCAGAACTTTATGACCAAGCTTTATTTAACCATAGTGATTTTTCTGGTTAAAATTTTGTATCAAGGATATTATATTTTGTAAATTTTATATTATACTACTAGTGTTAAGTTCTTTACATGCATCAATAAAGAATAATTGTAATAAGTATATTATTATATAAAAATATATATACATCTATCTATTTTTAATAAATACATTTTATTTAAAATAATTATTGAATAAGTAAAATAAGTTTTCAGAAAAAATAAGACTTTATACACAATGTATAACCCAAGACAAGTATTATGCATTTATAACAGTCTATCATTTTAATATAATATACAGAAAATAAATTACATTACTAATTATTATTACTACATTACAAAAGTCAATTTCCAGGGTTACTCAATTTAAATTATTGCAATTGTATCTAAAAAGTTCAATTTAGAAAATTAAAGTGTACAAAATAATTTGTATAATCTAGAATACAATTAAATAACTTTATTATTTTATGTATAAGGTTAACTTAACATAACTAAAATAATAATATGACATTAATGTTAAATATAAATTCATACCTCAGTTTAATAAAATACATTAGACCTAATTTCTTTTTTGAGAATCATGTCCCGGTTGCCTTTCAAATTTGTCTGAAAGATCAGGAAATCCTTTTGAGTTATTAGTAGAGTTGTTTTCTGTAGAATTTGCAAGGTTAAATTTATTTGCAATATTTTTAGCATTGACTTTTTTCATTTCACATATTAATTTATTATGTTCTATTTCTTCAATGGTTGGTGGTTGTATTCGTCGTCCTCTTAACCATTGTGACCATTCAGGTGTTGGTACGCCAATTTCTTCATTTATTGGTACAAACCATCTTTTAGGTAAACGACGACCTCCTCTAGGATCAGCTGGGATTTCGAAATACTTATTTCCCTGTTCATCAACTCCTATAGGTCTTTCAATTGGTTTAGACTTTAAAGAATTTAAAAAATTGTTAAATACTATTTTCCACAAACGCCTCTCTTTAGGAGGCATTTTAAATATTCATAAAACTTTTAATTTACTAAATCAATAAAGTGATTTGATAAGTGTTTACCTCAGCCACATATCACGTTATCAACTTAAATGAAAGTGTATCCGATTCTGAAACAAAAGTGTACGGTGGCCTAGTGGTAATGTTTGTCTCGACGATACCTTTGGTCACGGGTTCTAATCCTGAACCGTGTCTCTTTTATCTATTAACTTAGGTGCCATGTCGGATTAATCCACTAAAATACTTAACACAAGTTAATAACAATTGATAAAAATAAATCATTATTTTGAAAAAGCTCCGTAAACTTTATATTATATTTTTAAACAAAAAAAACTATTTGATTTTTAATTGACGTAATGATAAATATAATTTTATGATCAAGCCCGTAATTTTTTTTGGATTTATCACAGATAGATAAAATTCTTATCTTATCTGTGGTAGCATAGATTACATATATATGGATAGGCTACAGAAATCATACAATTGGCAAGAACTTTTGTTAAATTATACCTTTAGAGAAAGCGCTATATATCCTTTCTAAAACTATTAAATATTTAATAATAACTCAATTGTTCGGCTTATTGATATTTGGGTAATAGCCGTTTATTGATATTTATTAATTTTTGTCAATTATTGAGGGTAATGTTTGCGTCAAGATACGATTAGTGATCTTTTGACGTATCGTTGAAAGAAATCAGTTCAGTGAGAGCTGAGTAAAATGGTAACAGCCACAAAAAAAAAAAAACATATCATAGTAAAACCAATACCTTCTCAGCTTCGCATCGAAGCTAAAACGTACGATTTTTGTAAAAAAATTCTTTTTTATATTTTTAACTTTTTAATGCTATAACCTTTTGAGAAATGTATGGATCAATACAATTTTTTTATTATAAATACTATTTATTCGTATACATCTTGTTGAATGGAATAGGTTATGTAATTAAAAGATTTAGAAATTATTCGTAATATAATAGTATTTAATATAAAATATCAAAACATATAATATAAGAGATGTACAACGGCAACGGGTCACTTTACTCGATAGACGGTGAAACTACGACAAAACTGTAAACATGTATACAATAGGCTGCATTGAGTAAAACAACATAATCGTAAAAGGAATGTGTCCCTTTGACCTTGTACTATACTAACATAAGTAAAAATACATTAAACTGTTATCATAAATAATATTACTGTACCCAGTGTGTTGTTTAATAATATCAACACTTCCCCTTAAACAATACACCCGTACATAGTTAATTAAAAAAATTATAAATCTATATATCTAATAATGGTTTTTATGATATTGCTATCACAGTCACGGATTGTTTATTATTAATTATGACTATCATTAGATGTACTTTATACAATACAGTTAGTGTATTTATAAACTCACAACAATGTACCTTACTATCATTGATAATAACAATGCTGTGTACCTGCTAATAAATAAATTAAGTTTTATTAAAAATTCAAATGCCATTTATTATTGAATTAAAAACTCAAACATTTTATTAAATTAAAAATATGTGTTACCATTTAAAAAAACAAAGTTGACACCCTTACCAGGTATAAGGGATGAACTTAAAAAGTATTACATAGTTAATAATTCAAGAATAATGTGTAACTAAAGATAATAATAAAAAAAAATTTTTTAATTATTATTATTCTGTAAGTAATTATGTGGGTTATGATAAAAAAATCACTCTATATACGGGGAGGCTTCAAATCTAAAAAATGCATATAGAAAGTAGAACTTTTTCAACTTAATTTTTGAAAGTGTTCCGGAAATACTGACACTTTTATATATATCTTAAATTAAAGCTTATGTAATATACTTTAATATTAAAAAGAAAAATTTCGGACTTTATTTTGTCTTCATGGTGAAAATAGCTACCGTTTTCAAAAATATACTATTTTTGTATTAAAATTCTTGGTTTTGTATTTTATTTTATTATAAGAGGATTACACTGATTTTCGTAAATATTATATCAATCTAATTGACATAGTATAAAAAATTAAACATATTTAAATTTTTTTGTTTCTTTGAAGTCGAGAAAAATAACTTTAAAATTTGAACTAGCTAAATTTCCATTTTTATTAAGTGACGAATGAGACGTACGGTTACTGAGACGGTAACACTTGGGTCTTTCATGCCTGTGGCACTGAATTTTTTCTTAATTCTTTTTGAGTTAGAAAAAAATGTTTAACTCATTTGATTTTTATCTCATTTAGATTCAATAACTTCAATAAATATCAAGGATCCCATTACTGTAGTCTCCTCTCGTGAGAAGAAATTCATATTAATATTATTTTACTATGTGGTTTTTTTTTGTAGCTATCATTTATTTTCTCAGCTCTCACTTGACCTACTTTTTTGATAAATTTTTTTTTAAAATTAAACACCTATCTACAGATTTGCATCGAAGCGTTTCTTATGATAGTGATTTTAATCACTGTCAGATATCATCGATACTGGACCCAACTATGCCACGACCCCACTGTGCCGCCACCCCACTGTGCTGGGTTTTTTTTACAAAATGCTCACATAAAATATTTTAAACCTGTTGTATCAATGTCAATTGGAGATACAACAAAGTTGTATCTCTAACAACACTATCTTTTAGCTTTGTAAATAAACAAAACTTTTGAGTCTTAACTTTTACCAGCACAAATTATTCGTTAAGACATTACCAAGAACGTGTCGTATAGAGACCCAACCGTTTTTTAATGAGAATATTCTTATACCTTTACTTAGAATTATCTAATATAGGATCTTACAATTATGTAACAGTTATAGAAAACATTACGATGTTAAATAAAATGTTTTACTTCCTGCTTTAAAGACAATATACTATATTATACTCCCATATGTTGAAATAAAAATATGTCCTTATATCAAAAAATAAATAAAGTCCACTATCAAAGGATGATCAGTAGGAATAAAAAAATTTTGATTTTTTAATAGTGTAGTAAACATTAAAATATGACTTTTTTTTATTGAAGACAGTGAACCGAACATATTATTCATTAATAATATAATATATATATTGACTTTGAATCGTATATTGTTTTTATTGTTAATAAACACGTTTACTTATTTACAATATTATTAACACCAATATATATATTGGTACATCTTTTATTGATAATTGTTTTATTTTTAATTTGTTTTACTTATTATAAAAGGAAAGAAATTGATTGAATATATTTGTAAAGATTTACTTTTGTGCATTAAAAATTATTGTCTATATTTGAAACTCAAAGTTATTTTATTATTATTATTATCTGTATACAGAATGATCGGTTTATCATGAACTACTCGATTACTCGTAAAATAAATACAATATTGCAAAAAAATATTTAATTTCTTGATTTATCAGCTAATAATTACTTTTAAAAATTATCCCTTATAACTTAGAAGGGCTTAAACTTTATTTTTTGTTAATGGCAACATACATATTTAACTAGCCTATAAAATTGAAAATTATCTTATTAAAACAAATCTACACGAGCAGAGACAGCGAAGATTTTATACATTATGTAGTAACTCAAAAAGCAAAAATAAAATTTATAAGGTAAATAGTTATGGGGTAACTAAACTGAGTATACCTGAATTAAACTTACGAATAGTCAGGATCTGTTAGAAATACTTATGTAAATTAATACGATAAAAATATAGACTATAAATTTCTTAGCGTATAATAATTGAAGCAAGTTCAGCAATAATTATTCTATAGACCTTTAAATGACTCACCTAAGGTTTCTTGTGTGGTTTAGAACATTATAATGCGAAGGTAGTTGAATTTGAATAAATTTTAAACTCTAAATAAATTCTAGACTTCACTTCCAGGCCCTGATAATCGAGGTGAATGGAGAAGAGGATGTTTGAATAATTCGGATGCGGACGGACTATTGACTATAATTTTTGAGACAGGTTTATATACAAATAATAATAATTATTGTTTTCGGTGGTAATGCGACATACCTGATTTCTGTAACTATATATGTTTGAAAAAAGTACTCATTTTTTAATTTTTATTCGGTTTGCTCATAATCGAGATATTATTTCATAACAAATGACTATTAACACAACAATTTTTACTAACACTTTATATTATTGGTGACAGTGATTATTATAAATAATCTTATATACCTACTTACGTACAATTTGTAATCCTTACTCATTGATTTTATTGAAATTTCACATCAGTACAGTTTTGTGCATAATTAGTGAACAATGTACAATAAAAATGAGTTTAATTATGGCTAATATTGGGATTGAAATCCCAGATAACTGTCATCGAGAAACGGTTGTTTTATCAAATATGTTATTAGATACGTTAATATGTCAGGCGAGTGAAAAAATAATAATAATTTTTATTTATAATTAATCCTATAACAATTTAAAAGTTTATATAACTGAAAAGTATATAATAACCAACTGTCATTTAATAATATTTTCAAAAATATCACATATTTTAGCATACCCTTTATTTTTTAAAAAAAGGAATATTTTTAAGATAAGTGAATAATTTTTTTTTTTATTTATAATATACATAAAAATTAGCCAAACTGCATTAAAATTTTAAGCTTGCTTGAGATCTACTAGAAATATACTATATAATGACGCTAATTATTACCCAGGCTATCAATTTTAGACTTAAAATTTTGATACTAAAAAAATTGTATTTTATAGTAAAAATCAAACTGTTTTGATATACTAATCATAATATTTGACCAAAAATTGAATAACAGAGGCCATTTTTTGTTTTTTGGGGTATTTTTGATAAAAATACTAAAAACGCATTGAGGGACCAGTAAAATTTTTTCAAAAATCTCAATTTTTCACAAAATACCTATTTTAATGTATATAATAAAGTTAAAATGATTTTCATTAAAATTCCGATATCGACTCTAGTATGTACATAACTCAGTTCAACAGTTCGGAGACGTGGTATCGGTCGTAGTTTACGAACATTTGGTATATCGTGTGCGAAAAATTGACTGTACTTACGATCAGCTGACCCAAAAGACAATTTCAAAAAAAATCGCAGTTGAAAATTCTGAGAAGCTTTGGGTGGATTCCGAGTGTAGAGCGTACACTCAGGCTAGTTATTTAACTGCTAGTGAATACGTCAGTTCGGAATTTCAATCTGTGCATTTAAGGGTCCCCTATTGGAAGACGACTGTTGCTAGGTCATGAAAAACATAAACGTACCGAATTCATTAAACATTCAAAAGTTAAAAAGCGGGAGTTGGTTTAGTCGTCCATAAAAAAATTGTACGTCAA